CTTTCAGTTGTAAGACACAGCTGGCATACACATGTCTGTGTGTGTGTGTTTAAATATTTATTTGTCAATGCAGTTACCTTGTATGGTTGCATCTTGAAGAACATAGTTTACCAATCCACCCAAAAAACATACCTGTAAGAAAATAGAAGTAAATATGATTTTAATATCACAGTAAGGCGTGAAAATATTCAAATATATTAAAGATTGCATAAATAAGTACAGGTATGTTTGTAGGTCGTGTATTTTAAGAAATTGCCTGTTTTTAATATTTACATAGCTCATAGTGCTTTGTAACGTACATATAACTATGCCACTCCTACAACTCCTCTTACGATTCAGCAAACCTCTACTAAGATATTTTTAAGTTTTTCATATTGTGAGATATTCATTGAGACGGGTACTATATGTTGGTCAACAATGTAAATACAAAGTGTTTGTCCTTGATCTACTTCCTTCCTCTTCTTTACTAGTGGATCTATTTTCCTAGTATTAAATTTTGTTGGTGTCGTTCTTCTGTTGATTTCCTTTAGACAGGCGTTGCTATCCTTCACTGAAAATATTCAAATTTATATTTTTTCAGTGGCTAACCCGACATATAGTACGCTGTACCGCCTAACTTTGTGCGAACTCTTTATAATCTTTGCATAAATGCCTTTCAACTCTTTAAGCTGATTGCAATAGACGAATGCAGCTAATACAGTCGTGGTTGAGCTGTAAAAGGTGCCATGAACACGACTTTTTTGTATTAATACATGTAAACAGGTAGAAGTAAAGTAATAGTAGGTAAAAGTAAACCTCCTAAAATGTAATAACGAACTGTCAGCGTAGGACTGGAGTTATTACCAAAAATATTAAATATTCTTCGTCATGATCACCATTTTCATGTCCTGCTAGCATTGACGTAAAATCGTTTCCTGTTTCAAAGCACATAATGTTGAAGTGTTGTCAACCAAAGCGTGGACGATGTTTGAAGGCGAATGTGTACAAGGTGATCCTTCTTAGACTAATACTAATGTTGCTCCTATTGCATTGTAAAACTAATGAAAATCATTAAAATAAAATTAATATTACACACAGCTATAGGCTACTAATGACAGGCAACTGAATACTTAAAAAAATTTCATTGTGCTATCACCTCTTTTAGATATATCAAATTCGCGTAACTGTTTGAGCAGGAATTTGCAAGTTTTGGATATGGCCAAAAAAAATTTTTTTTTTTTTTTTTTTTTTTTTTTTTTTTTTTTTTTTTTAATTTTTTTTTTTTTTTTTTTTTTTTTTTTTTTTTTGAAACAGAATATGTTGTCACCTAAAATGCAAAACAACGTATCATAAAAAATCGGAAGTCGCTGTAAGGTATAATAACCACAATATTAACCAAACTCAAATTTTGTCTTCAGATGAGTGTATGATAACCAATATAACCAATTTATAACCCAAACTCAAATTTTGATGATATGAGTAGTTATTATTATGACATTTTTTCTTCGACTGTCAAATTATGAAAAGTGCTGTTACGTTATTTTGTATAAATGGTAAATACCAATGTTTTTATTTATGAGTCTGGAGCTTGGTGAAGAGAAAACAGAAATCTTTCTCATTAGCACCCTTGAAATATATAACTATAGGGAAATGTGAGATACAGTCACAGATGAAGTAAATTGCAGTGATATTGAATTCCCAACTCACTTGTCATACATGTCAAGTTAAGCAAATAAAATATACAGTAAGCGGTCAATTGAAAGGTTCCTGACCTACCATAGTAAAACAAGTTTAGGCCTCAGTTTCGGCGTTCACTACCTCCTTTTGAAGAAAACTTCTTTCCAGCAAGCATTCTTTCAAGTTTTGAGGACAGAAATAAGCGCTGGGGACCAATTATTGAGGATACGTTGAATGCGAAAGAAAGTCACTGTTCATGATTATTCTTTTTTGAAAGTTGTATTATTCCAAGCGAAACTCAAAATAACCCAATATAGAATCTGTTGTTCTGAAGTATCCGGGTCCATCTCGCTAAACTGGCAGTTTGCACAAGAGAATGTATTCATGCTTCCCATGTCTGTACCCTGCATAGAGCGCGACAAGGAGACGGATCTCGTCTCGGGGGAGATTGTGTCTTTCCCTAAAACATTCATTTGTTGAGACGCTGTAATCTTGTCTTTGCCAAAACCTGCCAAGAGCAGCCAGCCAGTCAACTAGTTACTTTGTAAATAGCGCCATCGATGCCTTGCAATTTAGGCTGAAAATATTGTACTAGAAAGTTAAAAATGTCACCTGGTCTCCTCGCAACATTACTTCCAGGTAAAAAGCAACCAAATTTACAGAGTGTTAGTGTATTATCATTGGGGCTCCATCAGCAATGGAAAATTCCTGTCGTTAGTATTTACGATTTTTGCCATTTTGTTTATAGCAAATACAAAAATTCTACCATCGCGAGGCACCTGTATCATAAGTAGGCTTATGCGGGTGAAATCGCCCGTGCCACTTATCCGCTTGCGCCAGAAAGTCATAGCCACATTACTGATATTGTATATAATACAGAGTCTACACACACTTAGTCTTCATATCGAATTAATACAATGTACACACGGCCATAAATCAACAATTATCATTGCATTTTCTCTTGCCGCTTTCTGCGATACAATCAGCGTATATGTGTCTATTGCACGATGCGCCCGAAGATAGCGATTTTGCCATTTAGAAAATTAACGCCAACAATCGATATGCAATTTATAAATGAGCTTCTGCGACAACAACCACAGTAGCCATGCAACTTTTCAACTGTTGGCAATGATAAAAACTTACTTTTTTATTGGCACAACAATGTACCACACACAAGCGGACATCGGGCGCATCGGCCAATGTGTCCACTTAAGTAGTTGTGCCATACAAGAAAACGTTAAACAGCATTTTCTCAATTGCATTAGGAGGATTTAGTTGGAAACGTTGGCACATCTCGCCTAACAGCAGGTGTTTTCGTACCCAGTTGTTATCATTGTTGCATGTTTTCCCCGTTTTGTTATTGTTGTTTTGTTGCTATAAATCGATTATATGGTAGTTAAATCAAGTTATTGAGAAATAAGATGATCCGCTTGAATGACAACTGTCATCAGCCGCAACGACAACTTCAGTACATATTTATGTGCGTATATACATATGTATTCATGATATCTTTTGCATTAAGTGAACTTTTGGACACCTCTATTTGTGAAAACAATATATGAGCTTTCGGTGATCAGAGGCAACAAATTTTAACACCTTAAATAAGCACATGTCAGCCAACTTGGCTACGGCTAATCGTTGATCGCGCACACGGAGAGGGGTGTGTATGGAAGATGAAGAAACATAAAGAAAGGTGTCTAGTTCATGAGTCTTTCGTAAAAAAGCATTAGTGAAAATTATTTCATGTTATCATTGCGTTGTTGATAGGCTACCAATAGAAAGATTCTTCTCGAAATATACAGAGGGTTAGGAGGAGAGGAGGATACAATCTCAATTATATGGGTGGGTTCAAAATTGACTGCGGTGTAAAGATTGATATCTCTGCTGTTGTTGTTGTAGCATAAGAAATCTGCCGAGTAGATAGTCCTTAACCTGATAAAATTCCGGCTTCGTTCCGATTACCTAGACCCGACTTTTGTGAGAACTTGATATCTCTCTATCTTTCCGTCTAGCCAACTTAACTAGCATCTTCCAAGCGGAGGTACTATGCATAGATTCTCTGTGTTATTGATATCGATTGACACGATTGCTCGAGAACTACTAAACCTATCTTCATGAAATTTTACACAGGCGCTTGAGATACCTCTTTTTTTTAAGACTTGGACTAAGTTTTCTTTTTTCCGATTACAACTATTTGAAAAATAGTCACGAAGTTTCACTGAAATTTTAATTTTTTTTTTTTTTTTGTTTTTTTTTTTTTGTAAAATTATTTGTCAAAAATTCAATTTTAATTTTTTTTTCTTTGTTCAAGTTCTAAGTTAAGGTTTTAACTAAAGCTCGTCTTTTTTCCACTGTAGATGATGCTGTAAGGAGTTATCCTGCCAACGCGGTCGCATCTTTTTCCGAGGGATCACAGTAAATAATGGCGTCGCAATGGCCGGATTTAAAATATTTTTTCCAAAAAGTTCAGAATCTCTGTGTTAATGTGTATGTAATGTATGTATGTAACAATAAATATTTAAACAAAATATTTATATTTTATATGATAAAAAAATTGTTGAAAAAACGTTGTTTTTTACCCGAAAAAACCTATGTAACGAAGTCTTATGTTAGTGTATCAAAATGGCGCATCTAACACCAATTGAGCACGAAAGATCTATAGCTTAATTCTACTTCCAGAAATATGACCCGTACTCCATGGCGATGATTAACAACATGCCAAATCCCTCAAAAAAGCTAAAATATATCTATATATATTATATATTATAGTCTATACTTAAACGCGCTTTTCACGAAAAAACATATGAAGAACTTTGGGATAAACATATACGTAGAGGTTTCATAACTCCTAGAATTTCATTAAAAAAAAATGAATTGCAGACTTTTTATCGTTATTATGTTGAAGTTGTCAAAACGTATAATCTTGTTAATCTTGCATACAATTTAAAAATGACCTTGTTATTGTTACAAGATATATCTGCATAATACCCTGGCTGTCTTTGTTATGCCACTATATTACCTTTCCCTGTCGCCATTGTCTTTTGTAAACACATTTTACCTAAGTTCATGTCAAACCTTTCAGAAACAACCTTTGTTTACACCTGTAGTTAAGAACTTACAATAATTAGAAAGGCTTAGGTAAAAGGTATCAACAGGTAGTCGAAACTTGACGCAATTTAGAGACCTTATTAAGAATTTTCGTTCATTTAAAGGTAAAACAAAAATTATTCAAAGGTAAAATTATGTCACTGAGACAAAAACTTTGCGTTGGTCTGATAAAGGATGTGAGTATAAAATCGGCGACAGTTTTATTTAAGGATCATTTAGTCACCAGATAAGGAAGACACAACAGCAGTTAACGCAGTTGAAAATTCATAATTCAGAAACTCAATCGCAAGTAATATTCCAACACAGTATACACAAAAAATGGGTGAAAATATCGAAAAGTCCACACTACCCTATCAACTATTTCTTTATAATGAGGAACTACGTCATCCAAATCCGAGGGTGGTACGTCGCATTAAATCAAAAGTGGAGCTAACCGAAACGCTAATTAACGAAAACATGAAGAATCTCGACAACTACGGAGGCGCCGATTTGATGGCAATAAACCGACAGGTGGATTTTAAGGAGGAATTAACAGAGAAAATTGAAATAATTAAGGAATGTCACAAAACAATGAAATCACAAAAGAATTCAAGCACTTGGCTATAGAAAAGGGATGTGGAAATGACTCAACATATCGTCTAAATTTAAAATTCAAGACGACGGCCAAGCGGCGAAGCCATCAAAACCCACACAGTTTAAATCGTTATACTCCCATAATTAATTTTAATTTAAGTTTAATTTACTTTACGGTATATGATTTCATTAATTCAGTAAAAATAATTGTGATTGCAATTTAAATTTAAGGTTTTTTGTTTTATGTTAATATATGCCAAGTCAACAAAAAATGTTTAAGTTCTTTTTGGTTATGAAGTAATTATTGCATTAGGTGGTGACATGGGTTTCAAAAAATCTTTTTTTTTTTATAGTCTAATTAATAATTCTACAAAATCTGAAGAAATCCTAAATTTTCAAGTTGATCCGAGTAATAGTTTCGGAGATGCAGCCTTGAGAAATTGTGCGTTAGCTCGGCTGAGTGCGCCGTCTTTCTTGAGAACTACTCAACCGATCTTCATGAAATTTACACAGGTCTTTGAGATACAATTCTTAAACACTTAGAGGAAGGATATTTTTTTACTACAACTATTTGAAAAAAAGTCGCACAATTTTCATTTTTTTTTTTTCCTTCCTCCAAGTTCTAAGTTAAGGCTTTCCATGAAATATGTATTTTTTACTTTAGATGATCCTCCTGCTAACGCGAACCTGGGGAAACCTATTAGGTGAATAGTATGTCCAACTGTTTCCTCGAACAATATTATCTTGAAGTCTGCGTGCTACACAAGTCAATGCTTGAACCGCTGCTGAATCGCAATACAATCAATCCAATTCTGATTCCGATGTTTACTGGCGCTGAAAAGTGGATTACTTACGACAACGTCAAGGGAAAACGACCACTGCCAATTGGTGGTGATTCAGCTCAAACCGACCTCGATGAAAATGCTCCACTGAAATCGGAAACATTGCTTTGATCACGTGGTAATCTCAAAGCTGTCGGACAATTTTCAAATAGAAAAAAAATAGATTGTTATGGAATCAAATCAAATGTGTATTGCGAAAGTCTGTGCAGCAGCCCAAAAGCATCAGTTACATAATGACTTGAAGTGACAGGGTTTTCAAGATAACAGTCACAGTAAAATAGCACGTGAAGAACGTATTGGATAAATTTGGCTCACTTGTGACCAAACAAAACCACAGGAGGATAATTCTGAACGGAATCCAAAGCATTGATAAAGAACACGGTCTGGTGCCAAAGGTGGCTACATTTTATGATATGTTTTTAATACTTTTCAAGGACTATATTTCAGAGGGGACTATTATAAGACTTTTACCTTAGAAAAAGGAGAAAGTCCAGGTTTGAATCGAACCACAAATAGAGACTGATCGACATGACGAGCCGATTTAGTCATGACTGTCTGTCCTTTTATATATATGCGAACTACTCCCTGAGTTCTTGAGATATTGAACTGAAATTTCGCACACGTCCTTTCTTCTTTAAAAATCCACTAATTTCTGAGAATAGTAGTTATCGAACGACTATGTGATATAACTGACATACAAACTGAACAATCGGAATAAAGTGCTGGTATGAAAAACTTTTTTATTTGATGAGTTATCTTTCAGGAATTTGTCATATGTAACTATCATAGTTAATGGTACAAGCTCCGAAGAAATTGTTCAGATCGAGCTACTATAGCATATAGCTGCCATACAAACTGAAAAATCGAAATAATGTGCTTGTATGGAAAGTTTTGTTATTTGACAAGATATCTTCGAGAATATTGGCACGTATTATTATCTTAGTTAATTGTACACTCTTCGAAAAAAATTTTCAGATCGGATCTTTATAGGATATAGTTGTCATACAAACTGATCGGTCAGAATTAAGTTCTTGTAAGAAAAATTTTGCATATATAAAGTTTATTATTAGCTGCATTGCAAGCGAAGTGAACGTTTTTTCTTGCTTTAATATTTAGCGATGCTAACCTAACCTAACCGAACAACTTACCAACATATATTGGCCAACACACTGCTGCTGCATTTTCGTCTACTCAACTGTAATTGCTTTCGGTTTGTTCTTCAATTTAATTAGAGTATCAATTGTGTGAAATTTCAAAACAATGCAAAACAAACCGACCGGATGTTGCACATTGAACCCGCCTATCGATGGATGGCTGGTGTGTGGTTGCATCAATTGCAGAGATGAATCTCGACATGCAACTGCATAAGCATACCCAAATGTAAGCAAAATACATGGCAACTGCTTGTGGATATGTGCGAAAAGTATTACAACCCCGAACATGTTTAAATTCGTACTATACCGCTACACCCCCGCCGTCACCGTCGCCCTAGCTACAGTCCAGTCTGCAGTGCTTTTGCGATTCATTGCAATGTTTGATTGCAATCGTCAGTAATAACAATGGCAACAATCGCAATACACAGCCCCGCAATGGTAGTAACAATGACAGTTACAACAACAAAAACAAGGCAGGAAAAAACAATATACCATGGCTTGCAACTCAAGTACTCGGAGCTGTGGCTTATATGTTTGTATGTGTGCAAGTATCCATATATATAAATGTATATGTATACATGCATATATGTATGCATGCATATATGTATGCATGCGGGTTGGTGTGTTGGTGTTAGGGTATTAAAGTCCATAATGGCAAAGACTTCAACTGCAGCGGCAAAGTGTAGCCCCCAAAGCGTGTACTTGCAATAGTTGTGGCTGGCGTAGCTCTAGCTATGAATGCAGTTTTTGTTGCTGTACGCTGTACGCTGCAGAGTTGCATGAAAAATGGATCTGCTCCAGAAGATTTCAGTAATCTCATTCGTCACACTTGGTTGCTCAAGTACGAATTTATGCTTTTTTCTAATAATTGTTTTCTTTTTTTTTTTTTTTGTTTCTGTGAGTTGTGCCAATACAAGTGGTTCTCTGGCCGGCTCAGCCCGAGCGCATACTTTTTTACACAAATATGGGAACATATGTAATCAAGTAGTTTCACAAACATATATATGCAACGGTAGGTAAGCCACTTGTAGCATTGCCCCCCACACCGTGCTCCGCAAGTGCGAGGGCAGCGCTAAAAGTTGATTCGTTTGCTTGACTGATTTTCGAAGCCCTAGAAGAATTATGAAGTGGAGAAGCTTGTTGCCATCCTCGGCTAGAACTCAAAGGCACGGCGGCACTAAGCTACACACACTTACATGCATATCTACTATGTATATGTACAACATGTCGAAGCGCAACCCAAGCTATTTGCTTACACTGCCACTTGTCCGGTACTTAGAGCATTGTGCGGTAAGTATCGGTATTGTAATTGTTACCACCTCCGAACTATCAGCTTCTGCCGCACCATACCAACAACAACAGGCAAACGGGGAAGTATCCAATTCAAGAATGTTATGGCAGAGTGCACAAAGCATGATATCTGCAGATGAGGTCTGGCTATTTTTATGCATTCAGCCAACATTTGGGCATTCGTAATACATCTTGCCATACGGTGTCTTCATTACATTACTTTGTGGCAATTAGTAGTTACTTTCATGCCGACCACCTGTGTTGAAATGAATTCCGTTTTTTGTGTCATGCGACATGGTTATATAAGCGGCCACTGCTTAGATTTCATTGAAATTCTTGGGTTCCCTTCCAACATTCTACTTTTCATTTCATAATTTGAGACTTCTTAGTTGTGAGGGTATTTCTCGTATCGGAATACTTGATCTGTAAGCTGTTTCGTAAATTTTGATTTTGTGCACGCTTGAGAGAGCAGGCTAATTACAAGCCATTACATAAAAAAATAACCTAATTTTGTCATAGATAATAGAGAACTGAAAACTGACTTGAATGGAGAGAATAAAATTGAATTCTCATGTTTATTTGCATTTCTTGTTTATGAATCTTTGCACAACAGGAGCAATTACATACAACGGTGATTCTTCATCTGAAACACACAAAACCCAATAAATAAAAAAGTAACTTTTTTTAAAATTTCCCCATGTGTTTTCATAAAAATTTTGTCATAACATTGTCAATAAATTATAAAAAATTATGAATCTAGTAGGGATAATAGCCAAGCGTTTTGTGAACATTAAAAAAAAGCAAAAAATACAAAAAAATTTAAAAAAGATTACTCTACTGACTCCTTAGTGAACCTTTGAAATATTCAGAAACACTGTAACTTTTTTCTCTGAGAGTAGAGAACGATATACGGATATTCGCAATTCTACAACATGCTGGGTATCAATATACTATGTATAGCAGGATATGTAATACGTTGACATCCGACCAATATATGTATGTATATTCAAGTGAAGTAGGAGGCATCTTCTGGCAGAGCGATTGATGCCTGAACTGAACTGCATTTGTATATCAGTTGTGACCCTGGCCCCCTCTTTGCATGCCCCACAAACCTCACTCATCTGACAGCACTCTCCCTTCGGTCTCAAGGTTACCACACTCAACTATCGGAGTTGACAGTCTCCACTCTGAAAAAAAAACAGCACTCCGGGCTGTAACTCTGCTCTTACCTTTATGACAGTCACCTCCGCTGGGAAGACATTGCATTGATCGAGAAGCCTAAAATTGCAACTGACGTAAAATTACCGACGCACATTCTTCGTGAACTTCACGTTAAGGGCTTTTAAAGCTCATTGCCAGTTAATCCCAATCCCCATAATAACTGAAAATTTTGATACCACCTATTTTAATTAGCAAACTAATCCGCAAAGCGTGCGTTCATTTGCAGCTTATGCTAACGAAATTAACGACAAAACGTCAACTGATAAACTCATCATTTATACTATATAATTGTATTACCTCAATGATGAGATTGCTCTCCGTTTGCGACACGGCAGGCAAAATTGACGAGTATCGGGAAGTAAATTCAAAGCCAAACAAGCAATGCGAATGAGTTCATTTCTATGTACAGCATTCCCTGCCTAATTGTACCCAACCGAAGAAATTTATTTGTAATATGTTGTTTTTTTTTTTTCATTTTTGTGCTGCCAATATTTTGTATAGCGACTCATCGACCATTTCAATACGCGAATCTGTTAACTGGAGCGCACTGTACCTATTACTATGCTAAAACGGCAATGAATAAAGGTATGTTTAATACTATCAGTTTGAATTGCTGATTTATGTATTATAGCGGATGATGTTAATATCTCAGTTGCTGTTGTGT